TCAACTCGAGACCCAGAAAAGCCAGAAGGCTGAAATTTTGGGGATATGTGCCCATACCATGCGCGATCCTCCCATTTTAATTTCATCCCCCTTGGAAGCCAAGGTGGCGCGTACGGAAGCCTTAAAAAAATATGCAAATTTCTTGGCGGGAACTCGGTCTCGGGAACCACACGAGCTAAGGGGCTGAAATTTTGTAGGAATATTCCCGGTGCATGAACTAGCTAAAGATTTCAAATTCAGCCCCCAGGTAAGCATGATACTCACGCAAGAGCGCTTGAAAGTTTTAGAGGGAAAATTGCTAACTCGGGCACCAGGAAAGCTAGAAAGCTGAAATTTTGGGGTAATGTTCCCTATCGAAGAACAGCTCAAATATTTACGTAAGAACTTATGGAAGTCCCTGCAGAAAGATTGCTAACTCGGCAACTAGAAAAGATGGAAGGCTGTAACTTATGGGGCATGTGCCCTGTCCAAGTACAACTTAAGTATTTCAAATTCAGCCTTGAGTTACGCGTGTTTCTTACGTACGGACACTTAAAATTTTGGCTAAATGTCTGACTGAGCAAATCGGTCAATTTTAAAGAACGATCGTTAAGTGGAAAATGTACATCTACTTTATGCAAAATTTATGGTGATTTGTGCTAGTGATCGCAAAAGGTAAGTGCAAAGCAACAACCATTTATGCAGTTAATGACCTGAATACTTCAAGTCCGGTGCAAAAACGCATGATCGCACGGGCCCGTCCGGTGCGTTCCAGCCTGAGTTATCCTCCAGCACTTTCCCATTCGTCGCCTCTGAGCGGTTTTCAAACACTCAGCTGCGTTGCCTGCTTCCCGCAACTTGGCCCGAATTTTAATTCCATGACGAATCCTGCGCCCCTTCCACTTCCCGCATTTACAACTACATCTGACCTCTTTGCCAATTTCGCAATCTGTGGCGCTTTATCAAATCTGAGCAGTATGAAAGAAGTTGGAAAAGCTGTATTAATAAGTAATGTGGCAAAGACACAAAGACAGCAACGAAATAGTAATTATTAAGCGATGGAACTGCTGAAATGTGAAAAATGTTACCAGAGCGGGAAGCTCATTTTCATCAAGTTCATCTACGAAATCCTCCCATCTGGGGAACAGCGCTTTGAATGCGTCAGGTTCGAGTGTTTTGCAGATTGCCGTCATAGGGCCGCTCCGACTTAACCAGTACGTTTTAGCCACGCGGATCGCAAAAGTACTGACTGTTTTGTCGCTCCAGAGCCATAATCTGCTTCCCTGATCAACCATAATTGTATCGCTAAAATGAATATCACTGTAAGTATGCTAAACGTTAGCTGTCCGAATAATGATTCTTGTATTTCGTGAAAACAAGCTAAAAATCCAGATTGTGCGGAAGCTCGTACCGGAGGCTGTCCTGCTGGAACGAAAACGGGAGCAACGGATCATAAACCGTGCACATAAGTTCTTCGCCGCGCGTTTCAAATAACCGGAACAATCTGGGTGGCTGAAAAAGCAGAAGAATTTTAGTAATAACAACGAAGAAGAGAAGCCAAAACAATTTTTTCTTTGTGAAAACTAGACCACTGGAGAATAGCAAAATTATTTGTTGAGACTTAACCTCGCGCACTTGCATGCGAAATAAAACGGAATTGCAAACACTAAGCGAACAAGAATGAGTGCTAAAGAACCAAGCAACGCGGTAAACTATGGTGCCCGCCCTTTTAATCTGATTACAAGAGTGCTGTTCAGTTGTTTAGAGATGCTAGCCCACTTATCAATAGGATCCAGTTGCACAGCTCAAGATACAGAACACAATAAGCGTAGATGGTGCCAGCAATACAAGCCAGCAAAAGACATCAGATTCAAGCGCTTTTCATTTTTATTCCTTATTTTATCTGCAAATTTTTTACTATTTTAGTTTTATTCCTTATACAATTAATATTAACACTATACCTC